GCACTGAACTGAGTGCCGGAGAGATGAAAGAAGCTGAGACAGTTCTCCACCTCTGAGAAACGTGGCAAGGGCACAGCTGGACGATGCCTCTGCGGTGACACGTACAGGGACAGTGCCAGCAAGGAAGAGGTGCAGAGGAAGGAAGAGCAGTGTGACGAACTCGGCCGGGGATGTTACGGACAGCTATGCTGAGTAAACTAAAACTCTGTGGCTTTATGATTTCAGCTGTCGGGGGAAGACTGTGACCAGACTGCACCCGTTAATTATTACCGAACGAGTCCAAAGAAAAGTGGTGTGTCCAGCCCAGAGCTTCAGAATCCCTCATCTGGCTGGGTGGGCCTTTGCCTCTCCAGGGTCGTCCAGTGCTGTAAAACGTCACTGCCTTCCCACCCACGGCCCCTCAGACCTCTCACTTGCCGTACACCCTTAGAGTCTGGTGCTGGGAAGATAGAGAATTTGAACAAGGCCTTTCTCAGAGGGGGCGTGATAGCAGATCTGCCCCTCACTGCTGCCTCCCAGCCTCCAAATGGCTCGTTGCTGATAGAGGCCTTATTATTCTTGTCGAGAGGTAGTCTTGCTGGTTTCTGACTTTCTTATAAGTAATTCCAGATAGATAAAATCCTAGTTGCATAGACTATCTGAAGCATAGCCAAAGCTCATGAGCCCATTAATCAGCCTCAGTTAACCCAGCAAACAACCCTGATAGAGATTTCATGTAGGCCCGAAGATAGCACTCTAAAAGGCTCGATGAATGTCACAAATTTAGACACTCGGTTGCCACTGGTTCCCAGTGCCAGAGACAGCAGAGTTGTGGACATGGGCCTCACTGATGGGACAAGGTGGTCTGTGGTGTTTGCCCCTCCTTGGTCCTGTTGCAATTCCAGTTCCTATCAAGAAGGCTCTGAATGTTGTCCTTATTTCTGTCACCTGCCTCACCTTTTTCCTCGCCTCTTGAGAAGTGATGGGAGCTAGTGCTGGGACATTGAGCCGATTGCCATTTAAGTGAATCTGTGAAACCACGAGCCACTAGGACCATATGAGCTACAGAAAGCTTTCACTTTGTGCCTGTGTCTAGTCTGTGCTGTGGAGGTGTGTGTCCAAGGATTACCCTGAGGTAGGGTTGCTAGACGAGGCACGACTTACAGTAAGGGCTGTCTTCCCTGAGAAGATGCTGTGTTGTAGAAACTTTAACAACTTTAACATAAGCTGAGAGGTTTTTATTGCTTGGCTGTTTTAAAGAACATTTTAATATTTGAATTCTCAGCCATCATTCAACTTGAACTCTGTGAGTGTGCAAGAGGGTGGTATGAAGCAGAAAACTAACCACTCCGTGTGTCTTTTGGCTATACCACACCCTGTAGAAAAGGCTTAGATTTATCTTCCTGTCACTTTTTAGCGATACAAAAGTGGTAGAGTGTTATTTGTGGCTGTAGACAACCACATTGTAGAAATGCTTACATTCTTGCCAGTTGCCAGCTTAAGGAGCATCACGTAGCTATGAAAAATTCAAATGTTTCTATTCCACAAAGTAAGGCCATTTACAGAGGTGGATTATATCTGTGTAATGGTAGCCAATGTTCCAGTTTCATATTTTTATTGGTGCCATAAACAAATAAGCCAGAGAACGATCTGGGAGATGGCGTGCTACAGACATTGCTATTCATATCACATTTCTTATTGTAGCAACTTATGTGAAAATTTCCTCAATGGTGTGGCACCTAGCATGAAGATGTTCTCACTGAATTCAGTAATAGCCTGTGGATTGTGTTATCCTCTCCAGTTTATTCCGTTCTGATAATGTACGTTCCCTCTTCATGAGGAGTGAGAACGTCATTGTCCTGCTGTGAAAATCCTAATTTCTCGTCGCTGTAATCCTTTCCTGTAGAGTTTTTAGCCTCAGTCAGTTACTTTTCTGTCAAGAAGGGAGAAATAATGAAGGCAGCTATTATACTTTGACTGAAGGTGAAGTGCTCAGCGGCGTAATTAAATCCGTGAAATGGTGAGTCATGATCGCCACAAACCAGGCGACCAGGAAGCGAGGGACGGAACTGAAGTTTATGTGCGACCAGCAGCTGACGCTATTACTCGTGCAGGCTTCTCTTGATTTGTGGGCACCCAGTGCCTAATTTCATTTTAAGAACTTGAAGCTTTAATGGATGTTCTAAAAGTTGCCCAAGGAAACATCTGAAAAAGATGTTTTAGGCTCGGTGGACATCTGTCTGGAAGTTCTGCTTTCCTGTCGGTTTACCAGAGTCTGCATTCTAGAAAAAGAGGAGAATCTTGCCTGAGGTGCTTCCAGACGGTCTTTTTGTCATGGACAGGGTGACGTTAAGAAGCTTCTGGAAGTCTATTTCAGCACTCATAATTTGAGAGGATGTGAACATAAGTCTAGCATAGGTAATTCATAGCAAGGTAGTGAAACAAAGAAACAATATTTCAAAACTTTGTTTTGCAAATAGAATGCAAATGTTCTGATTTTTTGTGAAATAGTGTTATAAGATGCAGTTTGTGTGAATGTCAGTGGCCAGTATCATTTATTTGAGCATCAGAACCGTAGAATTTTGTATAAGATACTTTCTTTTCCTTCCTCAAAGAGGTACTAGAGTGAAGAAGAAAAGAATAATATAGATTGTGTGTGTAGGTTTATGTACACCTGCCCCCACACACACTAATAAAAGAAAAATAAGTCAAGGTAGCTTAAGGAGGTAGTATTTAAAACATTTGGGAAATTATATAATTTGGAAACAGAAAGGCTTTAGAAGATGGTTTGTGGGCATGCTGTTAGACTGGGCATCAGTTACGGGAATAAAGGCGAATGTGGAAGATATAAAAAGGTTTATTGGCCTCTTAACACTTTTCTCCTTCATACACACATTTTAGACTCAGACGGTGTCTTTGCTCTCAAAATAATACACCTTATGTAATCATGAACCAGATGTTTCGATGGAGTGGGTTTTAGCGAATGAGGTTCAGGCCCATGTCTCAAAAGTGAAGCACCTCAGTCATCAATTCCTAAACGTGAGGTGAAACCGTTTTCCTCAGTTCTTGGGACATTTTCCACATGGACGTCTGTGGTCATTGCCTTGTTCTTCCTCTTTTTGTTTTCATGGTTTTTGTCTTCAGTCTGTCTTTTCTCTAAGCACCTAGAAGGACCTTGCAGGCTCGATCTGTCAGTCCCCATTCTCACACGGGCGTGCCCGGCACTCCTGTGGACCACCGTGGAGACGAAACACCTTTCCCTGGTGAGCCCCGTTCTGCTCACCCCTCTGCAGCAAACACAGGAGAAGTACGCAAAGCACACCTCCCAGAAACATGGGTGTACTTCAGGGCTTCAGCAGACTTAGATGAGAGTCAGTAAGGGCTGTACTTGAAAACTAAGTTTCCCTCGAAGAGTGGTTTCTGGGTATGTAGAGTAGGGGTCCCCAGTCCCCGGGCTGTGAACCGGTACCAGGCTGTGGCCTGTGAGGAACCGGGCCGCACAGCAGGAGGTGAGCAGTGGGCAAGCGAGCGAAGCTTCGTCTTTATCTGCAGCTGCTCCCCAGCACTGGCATCACCGCCCCAGCTCCACCTCAGATCATCAGGCATTAGAGTCTCATAGGAGCACCAGTATCTGGTGCCAAAAAGGTTGGGGACCGCTGCTTTAGAGGATTGCAGGTTATGTTTGTAGGCCAGTGATCTACAGCCTCAGTTGTTACACCCAGCCATTGTAGGCGGGAGAGGAAATGCTGAGTTACTATCTGTTCTCACTTGTGCTGCCGACTTAATGGAACCATTCAGAGAATCTTTGTCTCTTGTTTCAGAAGCTGGCTTTCAAGGACCTTCAGTGGCAAAGACCCAGAGAGCAGGGTTTCTGAATAGTATGCCCCTGAAATTCTTGGCACAGGAAAAACAAAGCGAACATGAGATTATTTAACACACCAAGAATAAAATCGCCAGTCCAGTTTGAGTCTGGGAGTCTAAAACTTTCGTAAATTGATTTTTACGCTATCGTTTTTGCCACCGTGCTCTACGCCACTGCGCCTACATCGCAGCCTCCGTCACCTGTTCATGCACTTCGGCGTTAGTGGGTGTGTCCTACATCTAATGTGCAGTAAACACTTCCTGTGCAAAGGTGCTCGAAACAACATCTGTCGTTACATCAAAGGCGCGACTGCCAAGTGCAGCTGGAAGAATTCTAATGATGAGATGGTTTGAAGGAAGGTTATAATGAAATCTGTGAAATGGCTGAAGCTTTTTCGAAAAAAGCAGAAATGGGCTCAGTTCCCTGCAGTTTTATTACGTAAACATTGTTTCTGCCTATATTTAGCATAACCGTTTCTCTACGTGAGAAACTTGAGAATACATTCCTAGTTAGGAAAAGTGCATTTTCTGGTGGCGTGTTGGAGAAGCAGCCTTATGGAAGGTTGATGCAGTGTTGAATTCTGTCTCTTCAAGAGGAAAAACCCCTCTGAATGTGCTATTTGTGGGTTCTGTATGAGAATTTCCGATCAAGAGTCTAGAAGAGTTATCCTAAGCTCATTATACAATTAAAAGGGACAAGAGCTATGCTCCAGAATGTGAATCCCAACCCAGAAAAGTGTTCACTGTACAAGGACAATACTCAGATTTTCAAATTGGGGGTGCTTTCCAATGGCAGCTAATTTGTTCCAGCATTGAAGTGAGCATAATTAACAGAGACTTTCTTTCTTAGGCCGATTAACCACCAAAAACCATGCCAACATTGTAACTGTAAGCAGTGAAAACCAATATTTATGAGGGGGATTGTGCAAGAGTTTGTGCGACAGATGGACATTTTATCTCTATTGGTGTTTGTAATTCCCTTGAAAAGTCATGCAATATCTTGTTATTTTTGAATGAATGAACAAACGATTGTGCTTTGCTGTTTTCTTTAAAAGAGGTGTACTAAATTTTTTTTCTGTTTAACCTCTTTATGTTAGCTAGGTTCATATATTCTGATGCAAAAGCTGAAAAATCATAATTGTGTTTTTGTTACAGATACAGATCCACGTGTTTTAGAAAAACAAGAATTACAGCAGCCAACCTATGTTGCTCTCAGTTACATTAATAGGTAAGCTATTTTCAGAATTTATAGCAACTTCATATCTGCTACATGTTTATTTTTAAATGTGTCTTTTATAACAGAATAGAAAAATGTTTTCAGTTTAAAAATATTTCCAGGAGATTATTGAAAATTAACTCTATGGAATTTTGTTTCTGTGTTGGGGACACGTGTGATGTAGTTTTCAGTGCCTATGGTTGAAAACGTGATTGATTTATAACCTCATTCTGTAAGTATTTTGTATGCAGAGTTAGAATATGCTCTTTTGACTTCGTAAGGCAGTGGGGAGATTAATGGATTTATGTTTGAGTGGAACTTTTAAATCCTGGGGCAAAGAGGTGCTTTATGAATTCAGAACATTGTTGGAATATCTGACTACATCAGACTATAACAAATTGAAAGAATTTAATATCAGAAAGTTATTTAGTAGCAGCTCATCTTTTGGTAAAAAAACATTCTCAGCAACTGACTCCATCTGTGTGGAGTCAGTTTTTTGAGGTGGTTTTTGCTGAAACCAAACATGTGAGCATAGGTTTAGAGAACACTTAGAACTTGATCCATCAGTTCTAAAAAGGGACTAGGTGTTGCAGCCAACTCAAGTAATTCAGGAGACAGTGATTTTTGGAGAGAACTGAAATCAACTTATATTAAAACATGCACCCAAAGAGAAGCAAAACAAAACTAGTTTTTAATGAGAATAAAAAACTCCGCTCATAATTCAGCGCGTGAATTTCTGGTGTCTGTCTCTTTTTTATATATATAAGGTGAAGAATGTTTTCAGTTTCTTGGGACCAGAGTTCAGGGTCTGAAGTGCAAAACTAGGAACGAATTATCTGTACTGTTTCATTTTAATGTCTTTTTAGAAAACAAGCCTTGTCTAGGGAGAGCTTAGAGTTGGAGGTGCCTGTGCTGTGTCAAGTTCTTTTATGAAGTATGTTTTTAAAACGATTCATTAATATGAACATCTACTTGCATATCTATTTTGGATTTCCTACTTAGCAGCCTTCCACGGAAGTGAGAGAAATCATCTACAGTTTTCTGTTACCCATAAATTTTGAAATATTTTTAAGTAACACCTTCAAAACACATCAGATACAAATAAAAATGTATATACTTATCTGGATTACTCATATAAAATCCGTGTTGTTTCTAGTGCTTAGCATGGGTTTTTAAACGTCTATAATTATACATTAGAATCTTATTTATGCGAATCTTAATTAGCCTACTAATTTTGGGGAAAAGGATGACTAGGCTTTTATAGGTTAATTGTACTGAGTAGGACTTTTTTAATTGTGTGCTCTTGTGTTTTGGGTAAAATGGGTTACCTAGGTATGCAAATTTGTGTGATACTTAGCCTTATTCTAATAAGAGTCTTTGAGATCGTCACATTCATTCTTTCGGTTTATATTGTAAGCCACGTTGGCAGCAAGGATCTAATGACACAGGTGTTGTACTCACTAAAGAAATAGATATCCTGCCAGGTGTGATTTGGGATGACAGAAGAATAAAGACAAGGGCCACATGTACAAAACCACCAGAGAACTTGAGTCAAGTGTGATAGTTTAGCTTAAACTGGGATATGTCAGAATCCTAGAGAGTCAGGTCATAATCAACGGTGTGAAATTTCTTGAATGAGTCTTCTGGGAGAAAATGAATCATTTTTTTTAAAAAATAACCTTTTATTATTACAGCATGTACAGGCATTATAGAAAATTAAAAAGTATAATCAAACAAAATTTTTTTTTAATTAAAAGATCACATTCCCACCACCCAGATATCACTACTGGTAACACCTTAACACATTTTCGGGAAGAAAAGATGGATATAAATTTTAAGGATAGGAAGTCCCGTTAATTTTGTGATGTGAGAAACAATGGCAAGTCCGTGTAATGGAAAATAGTCTGTGTCATATTTATACACCTAGAGGGAAAAAAGTATAATAGGAAATAAGAAAAGCTAGAAGATTTTGAATGAAAGAATATAGAATAACACTAGGAAGAACAAATATAACAGTTTTATGCCTTGTGCTCTGTGCTAGGCATTTTTTTTACATTGTTTATTTCACTTAATCTTCACATTAGCCATACAAAGGAAGTACTATGTTGGTCTCCATTTCACAGGTGTGGAAGCAGAGACTCAGAAGTTAAGTAACTTGCCCTATGTCCCCGGATCCTATGCCGAGGGAATATTGGGTTCAAACTTGCCCAGTTAGGCTCCAGAATCTGTTTGTAATCCCTGTACAGCCTGATTTGTTGGGATATCAGGGAGTAACGTACTAGTTTAGAAAAGAGGAGAATTTGGAAAACTAATGTTGGAAAAATAGGGTCGGGCAGCTGGGCAGAGGAAACACAGACAAAAATAAGAGTAATTACCATGCCATGGATAATTGGAGGGTAGAAACCTAATAAAATGAAACAGTAGGAGACAGCAGAAGCTAAAAATGCTATGAGAGAGGTGACCAGTAACTCCTAAATGATATATTGCTACCAGGAAATGAGTGTGCAAGGCATATCCTAGCATAGCTGGCCTCAGCCGCAGTGGGGAAGGGTACCGTAGCATCTTAGGAAAGGGCGGAGCACAGTGAGTGCACAAGTGACAGGTGAGCTGTAGGGCGAAGTCAGGTGAGTCTCTATCAAAGGTCTGATGAGAAGCATTAGGTTACATCTGGATATTTCCTTCAGGTTATTGTGATGTCGTTCAGATAGCTAGCTGCTTTGAGGTGACAAGATAGCTTATTAATAACTTGTGACACTCCAGAAATGGGTAACTGAGATCATTTAAAGACATAATAACATGCATGGCCATGGCTGTTAATGATACTATTTTCTCTACAAAACATGTTTTTATTAAAATAATTGAACTTTCTAAATTAACTAATTTTTAAAATATATATATCATTTTTGTATAAGTCGTAAAGGAATATCATGCCTAGGCACAAATTGGTACCTTCTTGTACTCAGTCCTTGTCATTTACTACTTAATAAAAATGTAATATTCTTTTATACCAAATTACAGCTCTACTCAGATCCTCTAAGACTCCCTGCACTGCTTGGCAAAGTAGTAGTTAGGTTTGACCTCCTCTAAAAATGGATTTTTTATTTAGCTTAGTGTTTGCTATTAAACAGCAAATTCTAAAATGAGTTGCATAGAACAGTGGTTCCAAGGAGAATTTACCAGTTTTCTGTCTGTCTCTGTGTCTGTCTGTCTCCCTCCCCCCCGCCCCTCCTCTCTCTCTCTC